GAAGTTTCGTGATATCGGGGAATGAAAGCAAACGATGTTTTTCTGTGAGAGATGAAACAATACTCGGTGATTGATACTCGAAATTCCCTGGCGTATCTTCTCTCGTTCTTTTGTGTTCCCACTATGCAGAATAAATATTATAAACGACTCGTTTGTCCTCTTTCGGCCATTGCATAATCACACGTATTTAATACGGTGATTATCAAAGATATTTAGTTTCATTAGTTATGATGTTGCGATCGACATATCGAAAGAAATTTATTCTGAATCACAGAATATCCAGACCTTACATCCCATGAAGGTTTATTAAATTTGAGTGAACAACAGATAAAGATGTAATAGCATAAATAATCCACTAATAAATGATTAACGATGAGAAATTAGTCCTAATCTTCGAGTTGACATTACAAACTTACTATTATAAATCTAATATCTAGGTTATCCACACACTGAATCAAACATTAATTTCACGTCGAATAATTAATCATTAATTAATTCGTTGAGTCAATCGACGATTGAGTAGTCTATTCGTCAATCGCGATTAATAGTCACATGCTTCGATTAACAAACGTCAATTGCATTCAAAGTCTACCCAACATCGATATTTAAAACGTTTTTTTTTTTTTTTCAACAAGAAGCGTTCTTAACCAAACAACATTTTCCATCACGAAATGAAAGAAATAAAATTAAAAAAAAAAAGAAAAAAACGCTCGTAGCTGGACATTTTCCAATACGCGAGTGTATAACGCGCACGTAAAAGTCGGAATATTTCATCATCGGCAAACACGTAATCTCGATACGTTTATTTCAATCTTTCGAAACTCATCGAACAACAAACGATTATTGACATTTGGCAATTTCGCAGGGAATATCTCGGGTGGGGCGTTATCGAACGATTTTTCTCGTGCTAACGAACAAGAATGAAAAATTTTTTTTCTTTCTTTTCTTTTTTTCACTTGTTTCAACTGTGCTCGTCAATCTCGGCCATTAATTGAAAGGATCAATCGCAGTGGTTAAAAAGGAATCCGCGGGAAGGATTAACGAGATCCTTGGCGAGCCGGTCCGTGTGTTTCAGCCGACTAAACGGGCTTAGATCGCAACGTTACTCTGCGCACACACGACCTTCCATTACAGAAACGGTGCGCACGGCCGCGTTTCTAATCGGAGAGAAGCTTTTCCCGCTACGATCTCTTTCTCTCGTACAAACAGCTTGAGCAAATGCTCGCCCGGCGTAGTATCAATTCACAGGCGGGGTTAGTCGTTGCGTCCGCGACGGAAGTATCTTCCGAGTCGTTTCCGGGAGGATCGTCCGTTGGGAACGGGGGAGGAAAGAGGGGCGGGGCGGGGAGGGGAGGGGAGGGGAGAGGAGCATAAACTAGCCAGAGTCCATTACTCTGTCTCGGTAGATCGGCATCCGGAGCAAAGATCGCGCGCGCGACTTAATACCGATCGTCTTTCTTCCGGCTAATGCGGTGCTTTGCGCGAGATAATGTTCGTGCCACGCGTCCTTGAACACGGAGGACAATTCCAACTGCCGTATAAAACCTCGTTCGGAATGCCTTTCGAATGTTTTCATCGTCGTGGAACTTCAGGCCCCGTGAGAGTCGCCGCCGATCGGCAACTCCTTGAAACTGTTAGCAAATTTCGTTCGAGTTTCGAGTTTCGTTCGAGAGCGAATTTTTCGAGGGAAACTTACGAATCGATTGGTCATTCGTCGGTTTCATTTCCCGTCGGTTAGAGGGACAGTTTTTGCGAGCGTTTGCGACTCCGTAGCATATGTTGGTTGAAATTTGCACAGCGGTGTGATATTTGTAAAATAGATAAATTCGTCTTATTGAGCAAATAAGCCGGAGTCACGGAATACCATTCATAGTTCCCAGGCCATGTTCATGAAGTACAGTTACAGTTACAAGTTTGGTTTCTGAAATATTCCGTTCAGTTTAGTGTTTAGCATTATTTATTCATCAAAAATCTTCAAGAAACCAATGGTAATTACGAATCAATGTTGGCACGAAGAACTCGCGTGTCGAGTTCCTATTACCATAGCACGAAGCTTCCTCAATTCGTTGTTTGTTGTTACGTATAAAAGGTTGCTCGGCACTATTTGCTCGGGCGAGCACGCGATTCCGAAGTTAGGAACCTAGCATCAGTTTCGGAGGGAAAAATACGAGTTTCGGGCAGCGAGGCGAGAAAGAGGTTGGCCAAGGCGACCGGTTACGCGCCACGTGTTAGAGAGTTCACGTTGTGGAGCGTGACGAAACGCAGCGATGCATGCTCGCCGGGCGAATAGAGAAAGAGAGAGAGCAGAGAATCGCGCGTCTAATTCGGTAAACGTGAACTAAACGTATCAGCCCAGGTGTCATTGAAGGTGTTCATAACGAAGCCGAAACGTTGAGAGAGGAGACAGGTTCGCGGTTTTCCCTCTCCGCTGTGGCCGAAGTGGCGGACAAAGAAGAGGATTTCTAGGGGACGAGTATACGGGGGCGTTGGTGCGCTCGCGTAACCGTATTTGATGGCTGGAGGGATATTAAGCGGAGCTCGAAACAAAGTTTATTTTGCACCAGTCACCCCGACCAAGTCGCTTCACGCCGCCAACTCCTGCTGCTACTACTTTTGGTAGTACTGGCGCCACCTGTGTCGCTCCCAACGGCTGCGAAGGAGACAGATAGAAAGAGAGACGGGAGAGAAAGTAACAAAAAGGAACAAAACTAGTAGAAACGGAACGCGGAAAGACAGATGGTTAAAGAGACGTAGGAAAGAAGGGATGAAGGAGGGAGGGAGATAGAGAGAGAGAGAGAGAGAGAAAGAGAGACAGGGTGCATCGAACAAGAGCCACGAGAGAGAAGTGGACCGAGAGAAGAGCGGATGTGACACGGTTGAAAATAGTGGATGTGGCGAAGAGAAAGGGAGAGGACATAGAGAGGTTGCGGTGGTAATTGTTACGGCGACGACGTTTCAGGTAACTGAAAGGTCGTTTCCTTTGTCGTGCTTGTGTGCGAGATGGCGGCCATTCTAACTCATAGAAACACAGGCACACGTATACACCGTCGGCCGACTAACAGTTGTATACGTACAATTGCGGGGGGATACAGCGGAATCATTCGTGGCAGCTTGGCCAGAGCACACAATATCCCGAAGGTGGTGTACCTGCGTGGTATTCGTCTTACAAACTTTGGACTTCGGCAGACGTCGGGCTTCCTTCCGCGACTTTGGCAGATTTGGCTTCGACACGTCTAGAGAGTACTGGGATCTTGGCTTGAGTTAATTGTGGTCCGTTCTCGGCCTGCAGACCGTTCTCTTCCGTGGGAGCAATTTTATACCGGGCGTCCGTTGAATCGCCGTCGTAACCGGTAACGTATAAATCCCTCCTTAGGGAGCGAGCAACAAAATAAATTTGCTCTGGCGAGTACGCAGCTTTAGGAGGGACAATACACTACTGTTTGCCTAGTACCTGGACACTTTGACAATTTGTACCAATTGAAATTAAAAATTAAACGCCTGGCTGGCGACTAGAGTTGGTCGAGTGAATAAATTAGAAGCGAGCTTGTGGCCAAAGGTTGCGTTTATTATCCATCTCATGCAATGACGAGAGAGATCACGTAGATTTAAATTATTTATTAAAGAATCCAGCAACAGCGCATTCGTGTTAAGTATGCAATTTATCCATATATCCAATTTTATTTTGATCTGTAGCTTAAAGATTAAACAATCCACAGGATAAAGGACATTTCAAATAACAAGAGTATCCTGTAAAGTTCGACACTTGTAGAGGTATCAAACCTTTCGTCGTGGCATGTTCATTCATTTTTACGACTGTACAATTTACGACAAATTTACAATTTCATCGTTCCGTAATATTGTAAAGCAGCTGTCACGATAATAATGGCTGCTCCTTTTCTATATAACAATAATTACATAAAGCGTTGTGTCAAAAATAAATAAGTGTCCGGATACATTCGAACAGTAATGTATTTATACAAGGAATTATTACTTGTAACAATGGTTGTTGAAGTCGACACATTTCGCATTTTCCTTATCAGTTAGTCAAGTAAAAGAGCACTTCGTTTTAATATTAAGTGCTCTTCAAATCATAGACATTCATCGAAAGAATTTTCGTCGATGATTAAGCAAACTTCACAAGTAATAAGTGCAACACGAAATGCGTTAACTTCGTCAATGGAAATATGTATATCATCAGAGTTACGATGGCAGTTTTAATTGAAACAGTTGAATCTTCTTCTGTTTACATACAACCATGTTAAAGTAATTCTTACGTTAAAAAAAGAAAGATAACGAATCTTACGTAATGAAAAGAAAGAGAAAATATCTCTTTGGTATCTTAAGACGTTGATTGAATGTCAAACGCGCGTACTTAATTTCTCTTTCCTTTTTTTCCTTTCTTCAGTATATAAATGATATTTCCAACGAAATTTTACAGTGTCTCGTTTCAAGTATGTAACATGGCAGCTATTCGTTATAACATCGTAACATTACTTCTTCGTAAGCTGAACGTACATCGGAGTATTTTTCTGGTAGTATAACTATTCTACAAATTTTATCCATCGTTTCCGTGAAACCTTTAGCAGGGTTCTACGTTCGCCTCTCTCGAAAGCCTCATGTACACATACAAAAATTCATTCTTCATCTTTTTTCCTCCCCTACCCCGTCCGTGTTCTTGCACACGGAGAAATATCTACGAATAAAGTTTACGCTGGGACTCTACCGGAAACCCCCATACAAAGTGGTGCACGCTTGTAACCCTCCCCTCGAGTTGTACCAGCGATACCGGGCGGTAGACGAAAGATACAATTGTGTACAAACGAGAACAGAATTTACGAAATGGCGCACCGTGTAAGCACAACGCCGCGTTGTCGGTTAATATAAAAAAGGGCGTTTTATCCGATGTATTTCACTCGCAATCCGTTCTACCCGGCGACCAACCCGTTTTGATAAAACGGACAAAACGAAACGAGCGAACGTCTTTCGTACAGGTCGTTACAAAATAGATACTTCTTGATACACTGCGTCTCATAACTCTGATACCAATGTAAAGTTTCCAATCCATTTCTGAATATGCGAGAAACTTATTTGATTATGGTATGAAAAATTTTTACAATGTAGCGGATAATATTATAATATAATATAATTCTAAAACGAAAGAATATCTAGTCTTGTACTATTGCTCTTTGTCACATCGAATGTAATTTGTCGTTTCTTTTTCGAAAAAAAAAAAAAAAACTGATATTTCTTGCTTCGTTTCTTATTCCTCGTCCTGATCGCGAAACATAATATCAGAAACTTGAAACATTCTACATGGATTATGCTTGTATAAGAGGCAGTGCAGGTATAATTAGGTAGACGTATCTCTCAACGACTGACAGCACAAAAATTCGAGGGATTATTAAAACGCGCAAATACATGTCCACGATATTTTTTCAAAAACTTCGAAAAGAAGGCGAAGGAGAATCTTGACGCGTATCCCTGCCATCAATTTCCACGATATCTTTGTCGACCGCGCTACATTTTTCCAACATTTTATATACAATCGAGAATTTACATGTTTAACGTCGATTCATCTTGCTTGACGCTACGTACGCGTAGCTTTAGCTGTTGTCGATACACTCGCTCTTTGGAGAATAAAACTCTCTTTTTCCCTCTTCGTCTATCCGTATTGTATATGTATATGTATATATATATA